GCGGTGGGAGTTGGCCAACACGGACGCCCGACAAGAACGGTGCAAGTCGATGGCGTCGAATGGCGCGGTGTTTTTGGAATCCGTCCTCCGCAACGTGGACTTTGCCGCGTTTCAGCGTTGCTGGGGCGCCGCGTTTGACGTGGCCATCGCAAACGAGCTCCGCCAATCGACGGACGGTCGAAATTGGTTGTCCATGGTGTCGTCGACAGGCAAACCGAGCGTCGCGGTCGAACGCGACTACTGGCAAGCCCATGGCGTGCGGCACTTTACAACGCAGTGGCAAAACTTCAAAACCATCGGGCTCGTCAACGAGTACTCGGTCAGCAACGTGTACGGCATTGCGTACCCGTTGAGCTTGGAGACGTCGTTTTCCGCATTTCGTCTGGACCGAGAGTCCACGTTAAAGTTCTACTGGGCGCTTGCCAACGATTTCGCGGCAGTGGCCCCGTTCAACGCGAGCGACGTGGCTGGGGCGAGCCTTGTCCGGTCCAGCGCAACGTTTGCCTACGCAAACACGTCGATCGAATCGCAGCTATCCCTGCGGGGGACGCTAGCCACCCCATTGCCTGCATCGTTTGGCATCGTCCAATCCCTCCTGGGTCCTTTCGGGTCGGTTGACATGTACCATGTGCCTTGTCCGCGCGAACTCAAGCATGTTGTCCGCCACATCGTGTCGGCGTTGCGGCAAAGTTTTACACGAAACATTCGAGCTCAACAGCGCTACTTTGACATTCTGGACGGCATGTTTCTGCTACAACCTGCCCCCAAATCATGGCTCGATTTGAATTTTTACTCGGTCGGGGGAAGTATTCTTTGCCCCGAAGGTGGCGCGAAATCCATCGACAGCGGCATCCAAGCGTTGACGTCGCTCACAAAGCAGTGCTACTTCCTTCCGATTGCAGCCTCGCTTCCGTTTGTGCGGAAGGTTAGCGTCGCTGCCACCGTGTTGTCCGAAATGCTGACAGCGACCAACGACACGATTGACGCGACGTGTGGCGTGGTGCAGCTCGACCCGGCGTGCGTTCAGCTGGTCAGCACGAGCATCTCGTTTGTAAACACGTACATGATCCCGCACCTTGGATCGGACGTCGCCAACATGACAGCGACTGCGCGAGCCATGATTCTCGATCTCAACATCGAGTTGTACCAATATGGAACGTTAGATGTCGACACCGAAGTCCAGCTCCACCGCGCTCCGTTGCTCGCCCCGTCGCCCGACGAGTTTGCCTTCTTTTCGTGGATATTCCTCGTGGATTGGGCTCTCGGGCTCCGAGAAGTCGTGACGTTTGCAGGGGACGTGGCCAACATCACGCTCATCACCGAAAACGAGCTGCCGCAAAAACAGCAAGTCAACCGCGCGCAATTTCCCGTCAACTTTGCTGTGTACCTCCGCAGTGCCGTGTGGTACATCACGTCCACGTTTCTCTTCATCGCGGTGCTGCTGCTCGTGTACGTTGTGTTGTGCCGAGGCCACGTCGAAGTGTTGAACTTGTACAAGTTGCAGCGCGTCGGGGCGATCGTGTGGGTAGGTCGGCCGTTCTTGTTTCTCCGAAGCGTCACTGCCCTCGGCTTGCTTTCGACGGCCACCCTCGAACTGCGCTACTCGGGGTTTGTCACGTACTTTGAATCGATGCAGCTGTCGCTGGTGAAAACGTTCCTGGCAGCCAACGAGATCACGTGGCTCGCAGCGGTCGTAAACGACGTGGCGCTGGTCCTGACCCACGAGTACACGTCGTACTATTCGACCGTCAACAGCTTTCTTGTGTGGGCCATCATGGCGAGCATTTCGGTCGCGTTTCCGATGACGCACTCGATGGTGATCGACAAGCAGTGCCGCCTCGCCCAAGTGGACTTTCAAGTCGTGTGTACGAGCGGCAACCTCGCCATCGGCCAGCCGATGCGGTTTGCTGTGTTGGTGGCGATCGTGCTAATCTCGAATGTCCTCTGCTACACAGTCACCCGGCAACTCTTTGAGAAACCCGTCAAGACGCAGCTCAAGTCAGTCTTCCTCTACGCCGGCGCCAAGTACATGTTTTCAACCGACGACTGGATCTACGACGACATGTATTACATGGATCGCATGTCCGCTGCCATGAATGGCATCTTGACGCTGCACATCGGGAACATTATGTATGCACTGGATATCAAGCTTTGGTGCACGTTCCAAGTCGATCTGTCCAGGATAGCT